CAAGCTACACGTTGGGTATAAAAAATGCCAAAAACAGTAACAAATATGGGCCTCATTCCCCTGACCCGAAAGAGCCCCTGGTACGGCAGCGCCAGGTAGGACGAGTACGGAGAGGCTGCTAAAATCTCAGGGCCGAACTAGGCTGCCAAGATCGAAACGGACTAAAATGATGATATGTACCTACAATGCAAGAACCCTTGCTCAACAATCCGCTGTAGAAGATCTGTTGATTCAAGCAAGAAGAATAAGGTACGATGTCATTGGCCTGGCTGAGACGAGAAGGCGCCATCCTTTTCACGCTGTCTATGACACCGGAAAAGAACTGTTCCTTGGAACATGCGATCGCAGAGGTGTCGGTGGCGTTGGCGTCCTCGTCAAATCGAATTTGACCGTGAACATTGATTCGTTCGAACAACTAACAACCCGCATCGGACGATTACGGTTGAAATCTATGCCGGCTTTGACCATCTTCGTTGCTTACGCACCAACATCAAGCTATGACGAAGACGGAGTCGAAGCGTTCTATATGGACCTCGAAAAATTCTTCAGAGAAGATCATACATTCTTCAAGGTCATTGTCGGAGATTTTAACGCAAAAATTGGACCTAGAAGAACGTCTGAAGAACGTCACATAGGGACCCACGGACTAGAATGGAATGAACAGGGTGAGAGGCTATCCGAGTTTATCATGACGACCCAAACCATCCATGGTAACTCGCAATTCCAAAAGCCTCTCTCTCAGCGATGGACGTGGGAGTCTCCCAATGGAGAGTACCATAACGAAATAGATCACATCATAGTAAATCGAAGGTTTTGCCTGACCGACGTCGCTGTTGTTCCCAAGTTCTACACGGGATCAGACCATCGCCTCCTTCGCGCAACGTTCCGATTTTCGAGGAGAGGAGAGAAGCCGCTAAATACAAACAACGAAGTCCCAGAACTACCATAAACTGGGATGTATTCAAATCACTAGTCGGCTGTTGGGAAGATACCGTTGTCGACAACATCGACGAAGAATACGATCGACTCGTTGAATATCTCCACGTTGGCGCTAAAAAAGCCGAAAGTCCTAAGGTCACGAAGAGACGCTTGTCTCCGCAGACACTCGAGCTGATACGTCAACGTGGAATCGCACGAGCCGCAGGCAACCGAAACCTTACGTCCGAACTTGCGAAACGATGCAGAGAAGCGATAAAAGAAGACCTCAAAGAGAGAAGAGCAGCAGTTATGGCAGAAGCTGCAGAAGCTGGGAAGAGCATTCGCAAAGCCCAGCGAGGCTTCGCCAACTATAAGACCAAGATGATTGCACTCCGATACCCTGACGGGACACTTACAGCTTCCAGAAGGGCTATGGAGAAAATCATCCACCAGTACTACTCGGATCTCTTCGCTAGCCATGTTCTCTTACCGTCATATAAATTGAAAGAGGACGAATATGTCGTTCCACCGGTCCTTCCTTCCGAAATCCGACATGCTATATCGTCGGTGAAAAACAGAACAACACCCGGTCCAGACAGGATTAGACCAGAACACCTGAAGAACCTGCCGCCAGTTCTCATCAACACCTTGGCTCGGCTCTTCACTCGCTACCTGTCAGAATGCAAGGTCCCTATTCAATGGAAAACCAGCAAGACCGTATTGTTGTTCAAAAAGGGAGACCTTCACGACATAGGCAATTATCGCCCAATCTGCTTGCTGTCCGTTGTCTATAAACTCTTTACTCGAGTCATCCTGACACAGGATTGACAGAACACTGGACGAAGGACAGCCATGCGAACAAGCAGGGTTCAGAAAAGGATTTAGTACCATGGACCACATCCACACGATCACAAGACTCATTGAAGTTTCGCGAGAGTACAAACAACCACTCTGTCTCACTTTTATCGATCTGAAGAAAGCCTTTGATTCAGTGGAAACAGAAGCGGTTATAGAGGCTCTGGATAACCAGGGCGTCCCTACTCGGTACATAATGATCCTTCGTGAGCTTTATAAAGATTTCACGACCAGAATATCTCCATTCTACAACAATATCACCATTGACGTAAGAAGAGGGGTTCGACAAGGCGATACAATATCGCCAAAACTATTCACTGCCACCCTACAAAACGTCATGCGAACATTAGAATGGGACGAAATGGGAGTGAAAATTGACGGTCGACAATTAAACCATCTTCGCTTTGCTGACGATATCGTTCTCATAACACCAAACATCAGCCAAGCGGAACGAATGTTGACTGATTTCGACAACGCCTGTGGAAAGATCGGTCTTCAACTGAATCTAACGAAAACAATGTTCATGAGGAACGGATGGGTTTCTAATGCCCCATTCACGCTCAACGGAACGACAATTTCCGAATGCTCCAGTTACATCTATCTAGGTCGTGAAATCAACATGATGAACGACCTAGCCCCAGAGTTGAGCAGGAGGAAACGAGCGGCTTGGGGAACGTTTAAGAGCATCGACGATGTAGTGAAGAGGACAAAGAACATCCGACTCCGTGCCCACCTTTTCGACTCGACAATTATCCCTGCCCTAACGTATGCAGCAGAAACCTGGTCGCTACGTAAGCAGGATGAAAGATCACTTGCCGTTATCGAACGCGCAGTCGAAAGGACGATGCTAGGAGTATCTAGTATTTCGCAAATGAGACAAAGGATCCGAACTTCCGACCTACGTCAACGATCGAAAATCAGAGACGCCGTTCTACACGCCAGGATATCGAAAATAAGGTGGGCCGGACACGTGATGCGCTTCAACGACAACCGATGGACGAGAGCCGTTACCGACTGGATTCCTCGGGACGTCAAGCGCTCTAAAGGAAGACCACTGACCCGTTGGTCCGATTTCTTCACGAAAGCGATGGAAGAAAGATATGATGCTCAGCGAATTCCTAGAGCAAGGAGGACCCACTGGGCTACTCTTGCACGCGATAGGGAAAAATGGAAGAGTTGCTGGTACCCGCTCGAGTCACTCGACGATCAACGGGACGACAGGTGATACAGGTGACAGGTGATATATATATATATATATATATAGGCGACTGCTCAATCGATATCATTATTGGCGCGAGATTTCTGTTCTTCAAGAACATTTTTTTCTTTGTTCCAGAGAATGCTTTGTTTTATGTACTACACTGTTGAAGCAAGATTTTCTCTACAATTTTAAATACTTCTTGTGCATATATGGCTTCTATGTGCAAAGAAAACTTTGATTATAAAGCATCATTTTATTTTCGCTGTCACAGTGCGCTATGACAACCTTTTAAAACCAATTTGAGCTTCAAAGTCGACGAGCTTTTGGCTATCGAAAAAGATTACTGTAGCTTAATAGAAAGCGGTCCATAGAGTTTACCTGAGCAAACAAGGCAAATCAAATGTGAAACATAATTTTATTTTTGCTACGGTTGCGTACTACAGAGGTCTTTCAGAAAACTAAGCAAAGTGTCAAAATCCCGAGAGTTAAGCTTCTGGAAATGTATCCGAATTTTGCATAAAAGCTTTGTTCACCAAAAGAGACCTTGGAATATTTGGGGGTCAAAACGGTCCTCATCCTTTGCATATATATCACCTGTATCACCTGTCGTCCCGTTGATCGTCGAGTGACTCGAGCAGGTACCAGCAACTCTTCCATTTTTCCCTATAGCGTGCAAGAGTAGCCCAAAGGGGCCTCCTCGCTCTAGGGATTCGCTGATCATCATATCTTTCTTCTATCGCTTTCGTGAAGAAATCGGACCAACGGGTCAGTGGCCTTCCTTTAGAGCGCTTGACGTCCCGAGAAATCCAGTCGGTAACGGCTCTCGTCCATCGGTTGTCGTTGAAACGCATCACTTGTCCGGCCCACCTTATTTTTGATGGCGTATAGAACGGCGTCTCCGATTTTCGATCGTTGACGTAGGTCGGAACTTCGGATCCTTTTTTCTCATTTGCGAGTTACGGGATACTCCTAGCATCGACCTTTCGACTGCGCGTTCGATAACGGCAAGTGATCTGTCATCCTGCTTACGTAGCGACCAGGTTTCTGCTGCATACGTCAGGGCAGGGATAATTGTCGAGTCGAAAAGGTGGGCACGGAGTCGGATGTTCTTTGTCCTCTTCACTACATCTTCGATGCTCTTAAACATTCCCCAAGCCTCTCGTTTCCTCCTGCTCAACTCTGGAGCTAGGTCGTTCATCATGTTGATTTCATGACCTAGATAGACGTAACTGGAGCATTCGGAGATTGTCGTTCCGTTGAGCGTGAATGGGACATTAGAAACCCATCCGTTCCTCATGAACATTGTTTTCGTTAGATTCAGTTGAAGACCATTCTTTTCACAGGCGTTATCGAAATCGGTCAACATTCGTTCCGCCTGGCTGATGTTTGGTGTTATGAGAACGATATCATATATATATATATATATATATATATATATATATATCGATTAGCTGCCAGCTTAATTGAGCCAGATTCAGATAAATGCCTTATATTAGAAAAGAGTAGTAACAGAGCGGTGGACCCGGCGGTGTAACGGTAGCACGCGACCCGGTATGGGTGAAACGCGAATCCAACTATCGCGTGATGTTGAAGCTTCTGCATATCACTTTAGTATCATTGAATATACAGAAATAGATCCAATATACCCAATAATGTAGAATGATGCGCAAAAGCGTTTGCGCCAGCTGGGATTTGAACCCAAGTCTCTCTTTTCCCGGGAGCGTATGCTAAACGTTGCACCACCGACGCTCTTTTGCACAGCATTCTTTTTACGCTACAATACGTTATCTGTCAACAGCCAACCATCAACGGTCCGGTGGGGCCGTCACTATCGACATCGACATTGAAACATCATAACACTGCAAGTGGCGGTCAAATAAAAATGATTTTTAAATGATTATTGATACCCAATATCTGTTACCATAAGTGGGTTCAATGTCGATAGTGACGATCCCGCCAGACAGTAGACGATTGGCTGTTGACAGATGACACATTGTAGCGGATAAGGAGTGCTGCACGAAAAAAAGCGTCGATGATGCAGCGGTTAGCATACGCTCCTGAAAAAAGTGAGATCTGGGGTTTGAATCCCGGCTGACGCAGACGTTTTTGCACATCGCACTACATTATTGGCTATATTGAAACATCATAACACCGCAAGTATGGGTCAAATAAAAATGATTTTTCTGTTTAGCCGCTCCGATGTGTTAGTGATATTATTTATTGAATATCAGCAAAGCATATAACAATACAGTTAACAATTCAGCATGAATATATAGCCACCACGACTGTTGAATATTCATGCTGCATTATTAACTGTTTTGTTATATGCTTCGCTGATATTCAATAAATAATATCAACAACACCTCGGAGCGGCTAAAAAGAAAAAGATACTCATTTATTCAAACTTTGCCGAGGTTAATAGATAGTCGGTCCTAAGATTGAAAATGATTCTGATTGAATACAGAAAAAGTGTTGCATAGGGTACCTCCAGACCTTGATGAGGGCAGAGTTACCGATACTTCAACCTTCGAACTGCAACAATCGCACCACCACATACTATTACTACCAACTTCACCACGTCGGCAAAATGATGGATCTCCTAAGCATCTACATATACTAATCAATGTCGAAGTTTATAAGAGGTCGATCTGTGTAACTATAACGTCTCGAATATTGGCGAAACGATCACAACAGAGAAAAAGAAACTCTGAGATAATGGTGGATGATTTTCTCATATGTCTTTTTGGAAGGTGCAGTTGTTTCACTGAACGCAGGAGTGCAATCATCTTGTTTTCATTGTTGGTAAATTTTGAACTTCTCCATATGCTCTTTTCAGGCTTTGTGTCTTTGGCCATAGCTGCTAATTTTTTTTGAAGATTTTTCACTCGGTTTTTAAAATGTTTGCAACCTCGGATGTGAGTTGGCGATTGTACACACTTGCGATAGGACATTGACAAATTAGCTCGAGTTTCTCCAAAGACACGTGTTACCGTGATATTCGCATTCTCAACTTTCATAGCACCGATACGGTGTTGAACAAACCTCTCGTGTCACTTGTTAATAATGTCAGTTACGGCATCTTTCCAAGAGCCACTAATGATTTAAATAGATCTCAGTTTATGGTCCTTGTCACATGTGGGTGCGTATGCAATGAAGATGGTTAAAAGCGGTATTGTTCCACGCCGCTTCAACCATAAGCATTCCAACCAGGATCTTAATTTTCTGAATATCAATGTCTATGGACAAACTCATGTGGCGAGAACGCCAACACCTCGGACTTCTCTACTGTCTCGCTCCGAAGGTCAGTTACTTGTTATAGACGGTGTCAAATGTTCGGCGTCTTCTCCTCTTCGTCAATCCTATGTTGTCGCATCTGGCTCTTATTGCCTGCATGATCAGGACATCTATAAACAATTCATTTGCAACTAAATGTGCATTAAAAGTACAGATCGTCACCTTAGACCTTGAATATCTATATGGTTTAAAATTGTGAAGAGATTTTAGCAGTCTCTGTGCACTCGTCCTACCCAACGCTGGAGTATCGAGGGTTATTTCAAAGTCAAGGATATAAAGGACACTTACTACTGTTTAGCTGTGAATTTTCCACAAGTACCTTGTCAGTTTCTCTCATAGGGGCAAGAAGAAGCTTAATTTCATGAACGACTTCTAACCGCCTTTCAATGCACATACCTCTCACTTGATTGCGGCCTTCGACCGAATCATTGTATACATAACCTTTTCGAGAGGTATACAAAGAATTATAACTAAGATCGCATAAACTTCTTGAAATCTTTCTTCAACGTTCATAAATATCAATATAGATGCCTAGGTATTCGTTACAAAACTTTTGTCTACTCGTGGTAGATCCTTATATGATGAATTGAATAAGGACGTTTTGCCTGTCTATAGCTTTCATCAGCACTTCTGTGCCATCTGATGAGAAAACTGTTTCAATTCAACATGGTTTAAGTCGGTGAATGTCTGATCAAGCGGCCTATTGTGCTCTCACGATATTGAAATGAGTTCCAGAATCATACTGATGCAACTAATCATACCGAATCTCCTTCGCTACGTTGCCTGTTCACCCGACTGCTGATTATCTCCAGCTCTCTCAAAACTTTAACCCATAACGTACGACACGATCACTAAAGTATACTTAGGTACTATATTTATGAATCATTGAAGCCGCTCATTTTTTCAGGCTCCTCAAACTCTGTTAAGCCCTACTTTTTGCGAGTCCGAACAACAGGACAATTATCTCAGGAAACTTGCTCGTCATGTAGCAAATGATTAATAATCACTAAATCGGTAGTGAGTATATCGTGACTTTGTGATTAGACTGGATGTTACATGTTGATCGGATAACGCTTTTATCAACGACAGTCCGTTGGCAGTTAAGGTAACATCTTTCAAAATCTCAGTATTTCACTATTATACACTACATCACTTTACTGATTTGTGCTGTGCTAGAGCGGTGTAAATTGTGCTGAACAAATCTGAAGAACTCAGTTGAATATTTTGATTGAGCTTGTAGTAAATTCTTCGAAAAAAAATGTGATTAAGTTGCTGCAGTAAGTATGATATAGATTCTTCATCGACGAACACGTCGAACTTTAGAATAGAGTACCATTGAAACGAGGTAATCGTGCAATTTGATGAAAAATGAAGTGATGTGCAGAGATCTTCAAAGATAACGTAGTAGAAGTGATAGATCACCATTCCGCTCCTGTTCTTTATGCAACGCCTGCTTCATCGGGAAACCACAAAATGTTTGCTGTAGTCTCAAATGATGGTGATCGCCTGTGCATAATGCTTCATGCTAACGTCTCATCTCGGGTTTTTGTGGACCAAATTCACTCAGTAATTTTGAGTTCTCGATCGACTTTTGTAGTCCAATCGTGTATTCCTTGTCAGAGCTTCAATAAGCAACCACACATATATTGCCGAAACATTTAACTAATGGTCAAGGAAGACTCTTCGTCCTCTATAATAGAGGTTCTGCTGTGCTCCTGTTTAGATTTTCATATACATTAATCCGCTATTTTTTATTGGATCATCATTAGATATTAGAATATCAAAATTGTAAAGAGTGAAGGGTGGGGGAAACAGCTTTTAGAATTTGATAGGGGAAAAAGTTTGATGATCACAGTTGCTTTGAACTTGGATGGATTCCGATTATCGAATTTTATCAAGAAAGTCAGACATTCCTACAATTACAATAATTCAATTTGAACACTCAAGAAGAAACTGTTTCAATTCCAAAAAAGTCGTGTTAGCTAGAATCTTTCTGAAGCAAAGACAATTTTTGCCTTATTTATTCTATTAACGCTACCAGTAGTGGATAGCACGAAGAATATAAAGTGAATGAGAAATTTGAAGATTATAATGAGACTTCGAAGACTATGATTAGGCTAGTGACTGTTTTTTTTTCAAAAAGGCACCACCAGTCGGTGAGTTGCCGAACGTGAAAGTGCCAGGTCCTGCTGCGATGGTCCGGCCGTTCACAGAAATGGTTTTTTCCGCTCCAGCTAACATCCGAACGAGATCCAGATAGCGTTCCAGGCTGAAAACAAAACTTCGATATAGCTCAAACATGAGGTAATTTCAAGTAAAAACTCATTAATTTACTTTTATTTCATGCGAACCAATATCCTCTGATTGTGCGAATATAAGTTTTTCTTGTTTTTATCAGAATCTAGAGTACGAATTCCATCCTTTCTTTCATTTGATTTGTAATCTCGCATATCCTGATAAATTTTTCAATTATTTCACGTGTTGCCAGAACTGTTGCTCCAAAAATTCATATTCCTTGTGAATGTCGTAGAGTGATGCACTAGACGACTCTCACTGTAATCTTGACGCTAGTCGAGTCCTCTTCAACCATTTGCTTCCCGATAAAGCATCATTACCCACTACACCACCTCTCCAAGTAATCATCACAATCATTTGTATCCGTATATGCAGTGTTATTTATTGCTTAAGCAGGCGTTAAACACATTGGTTAACGGTTCCCCCTGACACAAGAGAGGTAGCGAATTCTATTCCGCACCTTGCGCCAATCAGGGCTTTTTCATTCTAAACTTACAAATTGAAGGGACACCTGATTTGGATGGAAGGAAATTATTATCTTGATAGGCTTCCCGTAGCCACTAAAAGGGCCAAATGTAGCTCTAGTGACTTTACAGAGCTTGAAGGAGTGAAATGTATGATATTGGATTCATTGAAAATAGTTCAGTTCCCTACCATATATTAACTCAACTTAGAATGAATTTTATCCTTCTTTTCATTCTTTACTTGATTTTATTTTCACGCGACTTCTCATCAATTTATAGTGTGCCGATCGTAGTACTTCTGACATTCGATTCGTCTCCTTCTCAATCATCGCCTGCCTAAGGGTTTCGCCTTTCACAAGCGTAGTAGAATACTGCCAGGACAAAGAAGATCTCATTGCAGCCTCGAGGATAGCGAGGCTGGGGTGTTTCCTGGAGCGTTCGTTGATTGACTTGTCACACAGTGTTGGTCACAGAAGGAGTCATCCACACTTTACATATCTTTTCAATGAGAATAAAATTCAATCATTTACGTGTCATCCTATATTCATTTTAGCTGCACAAATTTCTAAAGTTCAAAAATCAATGAGATAGTTGAAGAAATGTGCAGTCTCGGTTTCTTTCTCCCATATTTTCGATATGACCCTCAGTGCAGTGGTGCATTCCAAGAATGCTATTGATCTTCATTCCACTCTAATCACTGGAGCGATCCTGTCCAGTCATTGTTGTTACGGTTAATATAATTATTATGAAACCATTTATTGTCGCAAACCACAAAGCGGTCATAAGCCCCGTCGTTCTTCTAACGCAGGAGCGTCGATAATGTTATAAAATGCTGGAGTTTTTCAAATTTTTATGGATTCCTCGAAACATTAGAAATGATTGTATTGAGTTCCACAAGTCCTCGAACACTTGTGCGAGCACTTACCTCCAATAACTTTTTGAGATTAAGAGCACCAAAAATGGCACGCTGGACTTTTCTTGACCTCGGACATAGACTTTTCATCTGAGTTCTAGGGTCAGTCGATATCCGAAAAATTTATATCCAA